AGGAATTTAGTGGGGAAGGATGCTAGATGTGTGAGTCACGTGGTCACATGTATGCAACAACCAGAAGGGAAAGCAACAAAGAAACTTGGACCCAGATGCTGTAGCTGTGGAAGGAAGGAGAGCAGAGAGCAAAGGGATCAAGCGCAGAACTGTCTGTGAGCGCTTGGGGACACACCTCAGCATGCTGGAGCTGATGTTTATTTCTGTCTGAACGTTTATTGCTGAGCAAATAGCTGTGAAACAGGGAGGCAAAGTGTGTTGTCTTTGCCTGTGTCAGTCCAGCTCCACAGCACAGATGCTGTTTGGTGCCACTGGTGAGTCCTTTACTGAACATGGGAGAGCTCCGTGCTGCAGGTCACAGATTACTGCTAGCACTTAGGGTGGCAGTCTGGTTCCTGAATTTGTTGTTCTTGTTGCAATTTTGAAGTCTGTTAAGGTGCAAGAAATGATGCTAAAAATAAAACAGAAAGTTTTCTGTGTGAAATTAAGCTCTCCAAAATTGCAGAACTGCAGTAGCTAATGCAACCACAGATTGCCTTATGTGGTTGCACATATGATAATAATAACTTGCTTAAAAGTCAGCTTGTGCAGGTGATCACGTAGATGGTAAGCTATTAAGATTTTATGGATTATAAAGAGTGGCACAACTTGTATTTTATAATCAACATCTAAATACTTCTAGAAAAAGAGTAAAAATTCACAAGCTCGTAATATAAATGTTGTGTTTTTTCCTTGCTGGAAGAATGGTTTGTTTGGGCTTCTGTTGGATGCCTATTTGCTAGTAAGAGTAGTCATCTAGCAGTACTATTATAGAGATGTGTTTTCTAAAATAAGATCATGAACATGTATTGCTCAAAGTGTAAATAATAAATAAAATACATTTAAGAAGACAGAAATCATATCAAGAGTGCAGAGGGAATTGACAATAAGTATCTGTCTTTAATAATAAAGTAGATTTTTTACCGGGATGCTATTAAATTATTGGTAAAGTGTTTGCAGGAAAGCTCATGGAAAAAACACCTAACTCTGGGACACAATAATTTAAAGACTTGAAAAAAAAAACCCCACAAACTTGCAAATTCAAAACCTAATATTATTAATCTGTTCCACTAATGTATGTCAAATGACCAAGGTTCTCTGCCTAAGTGAGTCTGAAAAATGCCTGGAGTGCAGCTATGGATATAAACCTCAGTGAGAGATGACTGTATTTCCTTCAGGGTCTAAAACTAAGCTCTGAAGTGATAGTTTAGATTTGGTTTGATAGGAGGGTTGTTTGTTCATGTGTTTGAAGGCATTGCAAGCTAAATGGCAGAATCAGTTGAATCAGCTCAGGTAAAATCCAAAGTTACCTTTTGGTTATTTCAGATCAAACTTTTCTATACTACTGTTAGTGTAAGAGAGCATTACAAAGAGTTGTTCTCATTGCTAATGACACTTGAATTTTTTTTAATACACTGTTTAAAACCATGACTAGCACAGAAATACTTCAGACTTGTTCCTGCTGTATCATTCTCACACTTATCCTTCTGTTGGATCTATTCTAGCCTGCATCATTCTCCTAAAACTTTCCCAATATCACCTGTACCCTTCTTTTTTGCAAGGAAAATTGGACTCTGAATTGTATTGCCTGATACTGTTCTTGCAATTCCTGCCTCATCCTTTTCCTGCTGGGAGTGCAGTTACATCAGTCCTTTATCACAGACAACTCCCAGAGAAGTTGGCAGCTTTTTTGCTACCAACTCAGCCTTCTACAGCTGTAACATATTAAGTCAAACTATGTTTATTCTTACATACTCTCTGTGGTGTTACAGTGCCTTTTCTTCCAGATCCTACCCACAGTTTTCCCTCCTTGGCCCAGGGGGCTCATGGCTTCCAGACCACTGTAATTCATGGGTTTATTCTTTGTTAAATGTAGCCAGGGTCTGGCGGCCGGAAAACAGTTAACAAAGTACATAAGTTTGCCCCAAGTGAGATGAAAGATTGCAACCTCTTCTGTGCTGTAGGCACCGTCTGCTCTATTTGTGTGGCTTTTCTGCCTGGTGCTCTATTTCCCTTGACCAGCTCCCATGCCTCTCTGTCTGTACAGTGCCCATTGTCACAACATTGATCAACTACTTGGCAGATTCTTCAGTGTGGTTGACTGTTCTGTCCTTAACCATAGCTAAGTTCTTATTGTGTGGTGTATTCTCTCGTGTCACCATTAGCTGTAGTCCTCATATTCTTATTCTCTCGTGTCACCATTAGCTGTAGTCCTGTGTTGGTTGCACAGACCCGGGGGAGGAGAGTGCTGAATGCCTTGCATTGGGGTCCCTTCTTGGGAGATGACTGGGCAAAATGAAAAACAGCCAGAGTGCACAACTGATTCTGAGGTGCAACTCATGAAAAAGCAGAGTTCCAAATAAATGTAGTATTATGTGGTTTTGCTTTTATATTAGTAGGCTATATTGTTTTCAAATTGATAAATAATTTGAATAATAAAACAGGTTTTGTATTTTCTTCATCAGACTATTGCACATTAAAATTCATGCATGCAGAAGTAATTTGTCATACATCTTTCTCTGTTTGAGAGATTACACATTTCTTTCTATTCATATTCTTCCAGGTGACTTGGATTATTACTGGCTGGATCCTGCCACGTGGCACAGCAGGGAAACATCCCCTATTAGTTCGGTAAGAAATAGGGAAAAAGAGGTTCATAAGTATTAATTAATATGTTTGCTGGTTATTTAAGTTCAGCATAGATACTTTGTTGTAAAAATTATTCTATACAAATTATATGAAAATTTGATTTTATGGAAAATGAAACTTGAAAACAAGTTTTTATTGAAATGTATGCTAGTAAAATTGCCTGAATTTTAAGTAAAATGTAATTATTTTATAGACATGATGCTAGATTTCACTACATAACACAAAAGCAGCTGTTAGCATGATGCTGCTCTGGGAGACATTAGTGACTTTTTCTATTGAATTGGAATGAGAAAGGTTGGATTTTGATTATATACTGAACCCATATGGTAGAGCTGTATAACAAGTATAATGTTCTGAAGTACATGATTTATCAATGCAATTTTCAGAATAATGGAATTTAAAAGTAAATGTTTAATTTTATTACCTACACTATGCTTTAAATGTTTAATCGTATTGAACTTTAATTGTGGTATAATTCTACCCGCAGACTTAGTGCTGAGATTTTTTTACAGTGGGCATAAATATTTGATGAAGCTAGAGTCCAACAGATACAATAATAGAAAACTTGAGTGCCACATGTAACACATCTGAAGGATGTTTGTGTCTACTGTGACATAATGATTAAGAAATATTGTTGGTTTTTAAATGTGCATCTAAATACAGGAAGATGGTTCTTTAATTCTGGTTCTTGAATTCTTTAATTCTGCTTTAATTCAGAATTCTTTAATTCTGCTGCCTTTTTTTTTTTTCTAACAGCATCCAGTAACGTGGCAGCCTTCTAAAGAGGGAGATCGCTTAATTGGGCGTGTTATTCTTAACAAGAGAACAACCATGCCAAAAGAATCAGGTGCATTATTGGGGCTTAAAGTGAGTATTGCATCTTTTATGTGGTAAATGAAAGAATCTTCCACTGACCTTAGACCTAGAGATCTAACCCATTACATCAGAGAACTCTCCAATTATATGGTCATTTGACAAAAATATTTTTATTAAGTTTTGGAAGTTATGCAGAAAAATTATCCTTCTTTGCAATCTTCCACTTCCCCATGGCAAAGGAGCTGAACTATTTTGATTTAAAAAGTGTATGTCTATTCAGCTCCCTGTCTGCAAGACTTATCCTGCACATTGCAATGCCCTAATGGAGTCCTGCCTTTTCTAGCTCTACTGTTTGCAATTCAGTCAAGTAATTAATCTCATAATCCATACATATAAATGTCATCAGATGCAAATGTTTGCAAGGTCAGTGTTTAAAATCCACGTAGGAAAGAGAAATTTTGTAGAATGACACTAAATATTTACACAAAAATTTGAAAAAAAAAAAAGCCCTTTTAAAGCATAGTAGAGATTATAATAAATGTAATTCCACTTAATCCAGTGCCTCAAAATTAAGATATTGGCAACACTGTCCAGTTGATTTAAATCCCTAAATTAGTGATTTGTAGCAGACAAAGGTTTTTTTTCCCTAAATTGCTGGAGTACTTATAAGAAAGAGAAAACTGCTCCTAAAACTGGTGGGGAGTACAGTGTGGCACTTCAAGAATTTCTCTCTCCATGTGTATTTTTAATTATACGGAGCTCAAAAGATGACTGAGGGAATTTAACTTGTGTGTCTTCTACTGAGAAGAACAGAAACAATGCCAAGTGTGGATCATTCCCATCCACTTAGGACTGAGTCTGCTTGGAATGGCAGGGATGCTGAACCTCTCCTTGCATGTCCTTGTCTGATAATACAACCCCTCACATGTGCTGGAGATGTGTGTTGTCGATTCTGCTCGTCATGGTGGGAATTAAATCAGGAAAATGCCTTGTAACTTGGTAATGGTATGTCCTGGGTAAGAGACATTTATCCACCTGGAAGTGAGGTGGTATGGCATGGGAAATACAGAAGATAGGAACAGCTTTACTAAATATCTGGTAGTTTGTAGTACAAGCCTGTTTTTTGCTGACAGGAAGCATTTTTAAATTTTTTTTTGCTATGTGAGGAAAAGGTTGGTCCAAATAGGACATGTAGATTGGAGAGCTTCTCTTCGATTTTTCAAGTTTCATTTTTGTAGGATATGAACTAAGGCCCCCACTGATAAATATAACACATTATCTTCTGACAACCTTGCAGGCAGGTGAGCTTCTCAGTCTTCTTGGATATATGTCTATATTAAAGCTCCTACTAGTTGTGGGGATTGCATCATGGGGAAATAATACCTAATGAACCAGTGTTCCACTGTTCTATTTTATTCCTGACAAAACAATTCTGAGCAGAGAGTGTAAGCTAGAGAATGCTAGCAAGTCAGCAAGACTACTTTTTCTTGCTTTATATTTTATTAAAGATTGAATCTCTTGAGGGCACCTATTTTTCCTGATTTTCCTGATCTCTGTATCATTCAGTCTTCCTCAAAAATTACTCTTTTCAGTTCTGTTAACAAAAGCCAGAAATTGATGTTTTGTCCTGTCATGTGCTTGAGTGAGGATGCCCAGGTTTTAGCAGTAGCAATGTTATTGTGAACTATTAGCCCACATTTCACAGTCGTTTATTTGCTAAGTTGCTGGTTGCTGTACCAATTGCATTTGGGGATTTTCATACATTTGGTTTGATGTGCACTTGCAATTTAAATTTAAGAACATGACAAGACATCTCTTTGCAAGAAGTACATCTTACTGGTTATTTATTAATTTTTTTCTGCAACAAATTGAGATACTTAGGAAATCACATAAGATTGATTAGTCAAACACATAAAAAGGAATACCTTTTTATTAATTCTGTGTCAGCTTTACTTTGTTTCAAGTAGATCTGGCCTTTTTCTATCTTAACTTTGTCTTTAAGCCTCTGTAAAGGCTGAATTGAGAATAGATTTGCATGTGCATATTTTAAGTTTAAATTTAAAAAAATGTGAAAAGTGATCTGTCTGTATATTTATACTTGATATGATGTCTGGTTTGTGCCTTGGAAACTCATAGTTTTATGATTAACCAGGTTGTTGGAGGAAAAATGACAGAATTAGGACGACTCGGTGCCTTCATTACCAAAGTGAAGAAAGGTAGCTTGGCTGATGTGGTGGGGCATCTCAGAGCAGGTAAATCAATCAGTTCCATGCAAAATATTTTGTGTTTTAATTATTACTTTTTGTAATGGTGTTAACGTTTGTCATGTGATATCCTAATATTTTTAAGGACAGGACAATACTGCTAAGTTATTATGGAATATTACAGTTGCCTACATTTCTCATTTATTATTAATGCAAATTGCTTGGCTGTATGAGCAAAATACAACACCCTCCTGATCAGTGCTTGTTGCAGGACTGAGTGTCACTGGTAAATTTTTGCTTGCTAGCTCAGGAGCTGCTTGTGACAGCATGCAATGCAAACATTTAAAAAACCTGTTTAATTGCAAAAAACCAAACTCACTACATTTACCTTACTTGCTTTATACTGTCACTTGAAATACAATGCCCTGCACACACAATGGACTTTATTAGTGCTTCTTTCAATGTGAATAGTTACAAATAAAAATGGAAAACAGCCCAAGAAAATTGTCTTAAATATTTCATTTATATAAGATGTATGGGCAAATATACAAATACACAAATAAGTGATTGTGCTGTTGGCACTTTTCAAGCTTCTGAATGAAGCGAGAACTATGCACAGCAATTGGTTTTCAAAATCACTTCTTAATGGTTTGTATTTTTAACATGGCTCTAAGCAACTACTTTCCAAGTGTTTTCTTAGCAAACTAAATTCTATCCAGAAGGTACAATGACAGCTTGTATGAATTTAGGATAATTGCATGAAGCAAATAGCAATAAAGAAGTAGAAAATATGATGAACCTCTAAAAATATCCTACTTTGTTTTGTTATTTGTTGTTTGGCTTTTTTACCAAGGCAATACACATGGGGTTGATAACAGCAATTATAGTTGTCTGTAGATTTTAACTGTAGATTATAATTACATATAATATTCTGTCCCCTGGTCTTGAACTATATGACTAGAAATATTAAATTTCTAGTCTCTTGTCTACTTTGTTTTTAAAGTCAAAGCTGTTTTTAATTTCTAAAAATACTTACAGAGCCAAAATAATTTCACAAAAAAAATGCAATTTTGTGTATGTTTTCAATGAATTAAAGTATATTCATCCTATTATATGGGACTAAAACACAAGAAAAGGCATGGATGAGTCCTTGCTGTTAGGAAAACACACTTTTTCATCTTTATGAAAAGTCTCCAAAATTTGGCTAACTGATAAATCTTTGAGTGATTGTACAAACCTCAATACATTTCAGAAAAGGCAAATATGAAGTCTTGCATCAGCAACAGAATAACCCAGTGCAACAATAGGCACTAGGAGCCTGTCAGCTAGAAAGCAGCTTGGCAGAAAAGTGTCTGAAGGTGCTGGAGGACAGTAAGTTGTACATGAGTCAGCAAAGTGCCCTTGCAGTGAGCACCAGTCATGGGCAGGGCTGAATTAGCAGGATTGTCACCAGCAGGTTGAGGGAGTTGGCTGTTCCTTGCTGTTCAGTGCTTATGAGGCTGTTTCTGGACTACAGTGTCCGGTTGAGGTTCCTGTAATACTGAGGTACTGACAAACTAGACTAGGTTAAGCCAGTGGACAGAAAGTTGATGAGGAATCTAGAGCATGTGGTGTACAAGAAGCTGAGAGAACTGAAAACTTTCTATCTGCTGAACATGCATCAGTAAGTGGGGGTAGAATGCAAGATGCATTACTATCCCTTTTGAGAGGAATCTTAGATATCCTGGGATATATGTGTCACTAGCAGCAGTGGCTCTATAAGGGTGCAGGTGTCCTGTAGGTTCTGCCAGCCAGCTTGGTGCAGGTATCTTGGTTATCCTAAATATCTTCAGCATAAGATGTCCAACAGCTCCTTGACTGACTAACTTGCAACTCTGTGCTACTGCAGTGAGACTTCAGACTGGGGAATTCATCTCACCTCAGTTTGTAGCAGTGTATCACTGGATCATACAATTACTGAGGTGGGTAGGGACCTCAAGAGATCTAGTCCAACCCCACTGCTTAAGCAGGGTAGGCTACAGCAGGCTGTACAGGACCATGTCCCATTGGGTTTTGTATGTGTCCAAGTTCTGAGTATCAGAATGGTCTTTTCCTGTTTCCATGCCTGTAACCGAGAGCAGAAATCACATTGTAAGCCTTATAGACAGCATCTTAGGTGAAAGAGACAATGCAAAAGGGCTTTGGTGGTCAAAAAGATCAAGAACTGGGCAAGTTGAGCAAAAGGTGGATGGTGGTCGTCTGGTTAGAACAAGCAGAAGTGCCATGTCATTGAAATCTCTATTTGGATCTAGTTTTCAGTAACACCAATAGGAGCCAGTTCTGTTTAATTTAACATTCTGATTATGATGATCTTACATTTAATCATCTTGGCAAATCTTTTTAATTGTTCCATCTCCTCGTAACTTGCTAAGTGCTGCTTAAGTCCTTTAAAATAGTGATACAGAGACATTACGTGTTCCATTTCAGGATTCTCAACCATTTGACTTGTAAATTCATTAGATTAATTGTTGTGTAAATTAGGTTTAAATAATGATTTTTAGTGTTACAAATTTAGCATATGTCCCTGCCTGTTAACTGCTATTAAGTTACAACTATTATTAAGCCAGCCACATCTTGTTCCTTTTAATGCCTGGGATGCTTTTTAAAGTTAATTCTGTTGTCTCTAAAGAAATCAGATCTTACTTTAGGGAAAAAACAACATGTTAGTTTATAACAGTTGTTATATTTAATTTACAATCAGAATAACAGACAAAATGGAATGTGTTTTCACTGAGTTGTATAAATTTTAAATGAAGTTCCTAGGCAATATCTAATTCCTCTTTCTCCTTGGCATCAGAATCTGTAATAAATATATAAAATATTTAAAACAGTTCCAGCTACACAAAAAAAAATAAATAAAGAAAATTAAACTCCTGTCAGCAAGTATTTATGAAGCCTGTCATTAGCAAACCTTTATGTTTTAAAGAATGCCAAAATGCTTTGAAAGCCAATGGAGTCCTTTCTTAAAATACTAAAGTATAGGCTGTTTGGGAAAAAGGACTGACAATCACTGAACATGAAGAGAAAATGAAGCCATGTGTTTTGGTAGATCTGAGTTCAGTTGGGATAGTTTTACTTGGCTTATTAATAAACACAAGCTTGATCATTTAGCTTAGATCTCATCAGAAGGCAGCAAAGCCAGCAGCTGAATGTTCATTCCTGGCTTAATCTGATTAACAAGAAATCATTGTCAAGAAAGAAAGATAAAATAATGGTCAATAAAAGTTATTTGTGACTTCAGGCAGTGCTTGTGAAGTTCTGACTGCTGTGTATGATGGGATATGAGAGGGTAAACTTACCTTCTGGTTCCTGCAGCTTAATTGTATATACTGGTTGTTATTTAGAAATTATACTTCAAGATTTCTACCTTTTTATAATATTGCAGAAGTACAATACAAAGTACATACTATTTAAATTCCAGAAATGACAAGCTGAAAAAAATAAATTATCTAAATAACTTTCACATAATGTTTTCCTTTCTGACCCCACTAAGATCCTCAGGAGATAGTGACTCACTCCTTGCTTTTGTATTCAGTTTATTTGACACAGACAGTGAAGACTGCCCTTTTTATAGAGAAATTGAAATGCACAGTATGTAAATTGTAGTAAAATATAATTATTTTTAAAGGCTTAGCAGTAGTTCTTTTTCATTTTTTAAGATTAGCCTATTTTCAAACTTTAATGATGATAGTAAAAAATCTTTTAAAAGTCTCTTATTTTGTAGCAAAATAACAGGTGCTGTATTATTTTGGGAATATTTAATGTTTGTGCAAGTGGTTTCTTTAATATGTTTTATGTGTACATATTGTAGCTCTCTTCTGAGAAAGGAGTCTTGGTAGTGTCTCAAAAGCCTTTTTTGCGTTTCAGCATAGCTTTTTAATTGATTTGTGGCAATGCTTTTTGGTTGTATAGATTTTATGAATGTCTTGTACATCTTTTTAAAAGAATATGAAAATGAGATAAACTTCTCTTTAAATTCAAGGGGATGAAGTTCTAGAGTGGAATGGTAAACCTTTGCCTGGAGCTACAAATGAAGAAGTTTACAACATTATTTTAGAATCAAAATCAGAACCTCAAGTTGAAATTATTGTTTCAAGGCCTATTGGGTAAGTCTAAAGACTTTTTTAAAGCACAGTTATTACTTCTATTAATGGTACTTTTAAAGGGACTGTTAGTGAGTTCATTATGATTCACTTTCTATGTTTTACGTTCTCTGTATTTCCATTTCTTCACTGCCATTTACAATCTTTATTTCTTTGCAGTGATAATATATAAGTTTAAATGTTTTCTGTGTGTTTAAATGAATGGCAAGATTCTTGCCAAGTGGCGAAGGAAAATTGGTGGATTAAGTGGGCCTGTGAATGAGAAAAATCTGTTTTTCAGGCTTTTGACTTCCTTAAATTGGAACAATTTATGCAAGTATTCATAAGTAGAAGGAAATACTGGCAAACATGGAGCATTGCAGGATTTTAGTCAGTCAATGCTAGAAGGATTTTAAGCAGGCCTTCTTTAAAGAGCTAAAAAAAGGAAAACCAAAACTCTTAATTAAAGGCTGTGTTTAGCCTTAAATGATGTTGTTGTCAAAATTAAAAAATTGAAACAAAAATATCTTCATAAATACGAAGGTAATTTGTTTCATAAAAAATAAGCATTAGCGTCTTACTTTTTATTTATCATAAATCCAGGTTTATGGGTTTGTGGTAACGATTCTTGTATTGTTGATTTCCCAAATAAACCTTAGAAAGCTAATAAAATCTATTTGAACTGATAAGATTAGTGCATTTGGCCCTGCATTTATCACAATGTAGTGGTATTGTTGTTGGGGTGGTATTCTACACTCCTTCCCTGAACACACAACTCTATTGGTACCATTTTGAGCTAAGTTCACAGGATTGAATATGAATCATAAATTCATATTTATATTGTGGAACAAAGTTACATGGTTAAAAATAAAAAGTGACTCTTTGACAGCTGTAAAAAAAAAATAATTAATTAAAAGGCTTTAAATTTCTCTGTAGTTTTTCACCTTCCCAGAGTTTATATGCTCTCACTGTAAGACTCTAAATACTACTATCCTATAGATGGATGGTAAACTGTTTCCTCCTTATTAATGCATGCTTATTTCATTTTAAATTTCATCCTATTAATAATTTTTATCTGTCTAAAATAAGTTTTCAGTTTCAGAAACAAAAAACAATTTTCTTTCTGACTAAAACATACTGCTTTTACATTTATTTCATATCAGCTTTTTATGTTTGATTTTTTCTGTACTGTGCAAGTGTAGCTGCATTTTGGAAATCAATTCCACCTTGCTAATAGCAAGCACTGTTAAAACCACTTAAATAAAATTAACATTTGTTGCTAATTCCAGCTACAAGTTTGACCTTCTAATGAAAAATGAAAGATTAATGCAATAATAGTAGTTGTTCATAGCTAAAAGTACCATCCAGATGGAGACTGGGGTGGAGGAGAAGCTTTATTTTAATTTCTTTAGTTGGATAAATTAGGAGACGTTCCTGATACAAAATTGCAAATTCAATCCTGTGTCTTTTTTAGTTAAAAATAAAATTGAAGTGTATTTTTTTATATTTAAATTGGCAGAAAAGAAATATGTCCATACTAGACCTCACTTTAACTGTGTGTCTGAACTGAGGAAAAACTGGAAATTCCTTTGTACAACTGAAGGAAAATGAAAGTGCTAGATTAGTATTTTAAATAATGAGCTTTAGATATATTTACTGCTATTTGCAAATGTCATGTATACTTCAGCTTTTAAGAGAACTTCATTATTAAACCATTGGAATTATTTTAATTTATGAATTTGATTAGTCTAATAGCTTAAAAAATTAAGTACAAGGTGATCACATTCCAGTGACATGTTCTTGAAAAAACTGAGAAAAATACCATAACTGTTCAGTTGAGATATAGGATATGAAATGCATTCAAAATCAAAGAGTTAGCAAAAAATAACACAGTGTAAAGGATTTTATTTTTCTTCTTTAATTATTTTTTAAAAATAATTATAATTATGTCCATCATGTTACATAATGGAAGATGGTTTGCTTACATGAAGAGAGTACTCCTCTCCCTCCCCCCCAGCTTCTCTTTGTCATGTTATGTTAATTATTATTGTTTCAAATTTGTGTCAGGGATTTTTATTTAATCCAACAAATGGTATATCAAAGTTTTGTGTCTACTTTAGGTGCTGACTCTGCACAATCAAAGCTGCTTGATATGGCATGAAATTATAATCCATTACACCTAAAATTCCTGTGAGGAAATAGGTTCCCGAAAGACTTTAAGAATTCTTCATCTGCATAATTTAAGGATTTCCATCTCTTAGTATTAATAATGCAAGTAATGTACCAGCGCTTTTAATGGTCTCTATTTTAAAAGTCCTAGCATATTAGGTCTAAAAAGCCCAAATACAACACATCTTGGCCTTAGGGAATAATGGGAGGACTGTAAATCCACAAATTAGAAGAATGCCAGTTACAAAATTAATGTCTAAACAATGTGCTCAGTCTCGTAAATTTGGATTCCTGTGACTACCAGCAAATGTAATTTGGAATAATGGATAATTGTAGGATGTTCATTAGAGAAAAATGTGAAATGTGTAACACTATTAGCAGCTGAAAACATAACAATAAACAGTATAACCATAATAGTACCTTAATATCTCTTATAGAAACTAATTGATGCTAATGATTGCAACACAAGGTAGGTAAGAAACCTATAAAAAGTAGAATTAATGGGTTGGCTATCTAAATATGAGGGGAAGAATTACCTATGAATATGCATACAGCACGGGAGGTGGTTAAGATAGGGCAGCATGGAAAGTCCTCTGGCAGTATGATCAGGGAGAAGAAGTCCGGCATCGCAACTAACTCATGGCCTTTTGTGTTCTCGGGTGAGCTCTGGGGGATAGTGCAGGTAAAACAGACATCTCTTCTTTTGTCTCTGGTTGTTGTTTTTTTTTGTCAGATGCTAGCTTTCATTGCTTGGATTTCCACAGATAATACTGCCAAAATTATTTCTCTGGTATGATTCAGCTCATCTGTGCAGGGACTGGAGCTGTGCTCTAGGTCCTGGCGAGGAGCTTGAACTCCCATTCAGAATGAGATAGTACTGAATTCCAGAGAGTCACACAACTAATGCAATTACTGCAAACTACAGATTGTTCTACAGGTTCTGATGATTTACAAGGAGGAACTGTTTTGGAAATAGAAGAGTGAGCCCTTGGGACAGGAATTCAGAAACTATGAAATCTCTATGGGGTATAGAGGATGATGCTTCTGTCCCTAGAGCAACCTAAAGAAGTGTGGGTTACAACAGCATTTACATTTGGTTTGTCTTCAATGATCAAGCTCTTGACTGTAGCCCTCAGTGAAATTACAGCTGTGTCTGTGCTTTACAAAACAGTGATCCTTATGAATCATGTATCTTTGCAGAGTAGTCTCAAACTAAGGTATAGCTTGGTGTAATTTATGTATTCTTTGAGGTTTGGAAGCACCAGACATATGACAGTCAGAAGACAAAGCTTGATGTCAGCAGCTCTTTACTGGAATGTGTCTGACATTTCTTTTCTGACGTTCATATTGCTCTGAAAGAAAGTTTTTGTTCTTATGTTTTTACCATTTGCTTTGACTAGTCTAGTTTTGAATATTGTAAGTCATGAGGTTTCTACTGTTTCTTCTGAGGAGGTTTTTTTTTGTAAATTTTGTTGTTTGGTTTTTTTTGTAATATTTTCTGCAAGAGCAGACTAGACAAAACTCATTTTCTTACCTAGCAAGTTTTAGATAATTGTTTCTTTAGCTTATAGTTTCTTCTTGGACTTCTTATTCTTCCATTAAAATGACAATGTTTAAAAAGCTCATGCATTTGATAAAGTCACTAGATACATAATACCAGTTATTTTCTGGTGGACATGTAGGATTTAAGAAATTATTATGTATTGTGGATTATTGAATTTGTAAGAAGTTTAAATATGGACAGCAGCAATTATTTCATGTCCATTTTGAAATCAATAGCAGAAAGCAGAACTGTTGCAGAGTTTGTTAGGATACTCTGCCATGAGTTAGGTTTCAGCACTGTATTGCATACTTAATTTATTGGTTTCTTAGCTTTTTGTGTCTTGCAGTTGTGTGTGGAGCTGTATTTAAACAAAATAAATGTATCAGGGAAGAGAAGATTTCCTAACAATAATTATATATATACACACATGCACATATATTCCTACACTTACTGTATGTATATATATATAGGCTGTCCATTGTATTATGAAGCTTTAGAGATTTCCTGACAGTGAATGAACTCTAATATGGTGAGGATTAATATGGTGGGTGGGAAAGCTGCCAAGTAATATTTCTAATGCAAATAATGCATTTTGCTGGGAGATGGAATTTATACTCTAGCTTCCAGTACTGCTCTCAGTTTTTCGTAAGAATTACAAGGGTTTGGAAAAATATGTTGAAAAATCATACTTTCAGTTCTTTCCTGTCCAATAAGTAAAGTATTAAGAAATATCTGATTATTTTTGTCATTTATCTTTATCTGGCGAGGATTTTAGTATCACCAGCTGTAAGTGAGGAAATGGCTATCAACTTGACCATTTTTTCAGCCACCCGGGAGTAATGAAACTTAACAGAGTAGGTTGCACTTTACATATTGAAGCACTCCTTGCACATCATTTAGATATCCTAAACGTGATATTTTCCCAAGCAATGTGGTACTGCATAAAAGTGTTCTTATTCTAGCACAGTAAAGCATTGCAAATTTAATGTTGTGTTGAACAGAAAAATCACTTTGAATATGCCAAGTAAATATTTCACACTAATGAGATTTGCCCTGGAAATGGAAGGGAGAACAAGTTAAGAGGAAGAAGTCCGCACAGCAACCCTGCTGTGCAACACATCATTCATCTGTTTGTATTTTTGTGAAGTAGCACTATGCCATGTCCAGTATAAGTCTTACATTTCCATGAGTTTGGAGAAACCACATTACTCTTGAATGAAGTAGTCAAAGCCAAGAGAAGCATGTTCTTGTGGAGTGGCATGTGATGTAAAATTATGTGAGATGTTAATAGGGAGCCAAAACAGGCTTTTTTAAAAGAGATGCACCAGAAGTTTAAATTGCAGGACATGAAAACCAAATTTAAGACTAATTCATTAGGCACTGTTGCATTCCTTTTAAGTGTCTCTTTCCAATAAGTGACTTTTATACACCTGAGGCTCTTACTTTTACTGACTTCCAAGTCAGTAAGATAGTGTTTCACTGAACAGAGAAGAGCCTGAATACCTTAAAAGTGCTCAGCTTTAGACTTAAAATCTTTTAAATGTTCTTCAGAAATGTTATTATAGCTCCAATTCTGGATTATTTATAAAGATGAAAATATTTTCAAGTAACTCACTCAAGAGCTTTGTTTCTATTTTCCTACTCTGCTGCTTTGCTAATGTTTGTACAACAACAGTCTTTCTTGCTCTTGCAATGATGGAAGAATAAATTTGTCTATCACAAAATGTTCATACATACGTGTGGACTTAACCAGTTTGATGTTGCTTATACATGTATATGCCACGGGCATGTGTATGTCAAAAATTATCCCCACCCAGTAGTAATGTAATTTCATTTTATTTTTTTAGCATTTGAAGATATGCATTATTTTTTGTTTCTTTAACATTGCTAATGTTATTTGCTTTTTCTTTTTATTATTGTAAGACATTTTCATCAGTTTCATTCCGTGAACTCCTTGAGACGTTTATATAAATACTACTAGTGAGTTAATCTATGTCTTATTTTTTGGATTTTTTTCCCCTCAAACAAATAGTTGAACCACTGTAGCTATATTACCTTTTAGCACCTTTCTCTTCCTAAAAGCCCTCTGACTTGTTCTGGTTGTAAAATTATCATGAAATTCATCCCCTTTCTTTCCTTGTAACCCATTAGAATGGAAACAGATTTGTATTTCTAACAAAGTGTTCCAGAAACATATTTGTTACAGCAGAAGGTCATCTCTGTTGTTCCTAATTGCTATTTGTATATTCATGTTTTAGTGATATTCCACGGATTCCCGAGACTTCTCACCCCCCATTAGAATCTAGTGAGTACACACCTTGTTCCTTTCGCTAAGCATGGTCCTGTACCCAACACAATTGTTTGGGCTATGAATTTTCTGAAAGATGAGCACTGGCAGACTGCATGGGCTCCAAAGTTTTTGTGTGACAAAATTCAGTGCATTTTGGTCATGCGTGTTGAATGTGAAACAATATAGATTTGATTAAAAGCTATAGAGATTTCAAATGTTAGCAGGATTTTATTATCTTCTGTATCTTGTGTTGTTAATACCATACTGGTATACATGCTGTGGCCCAAAATGGTAATTTACTTGACCTAATAGAAGAGAGAAAATATATGAAAGGGATTCCCAAAAGTGCAAACAGTGTCAGGGTTTTGCCTCCTGCACCACCCAATGCAAATTCAATGTTCTTGTCTCTATTTTACCTAACAAGGAAATGTTGGTTAGGTGAACTGTTTTCATACTATGCTTTTTAACTATCCCATTTGAATGGAGTCTGCCGGAGTGTGTGAAGGCCGTGACTTCCAGTTGTTTCTCATCTGAGCCTTGTCTGAGATGCAAACAGAAACCTTCCCTGGGACAGGGTCCTGTGGGGACACCAAGTGCTGTTACAGCTTTCACGAGCTCATATAATTTGTGAGGTCTCTGCTTCACTGGTGGAGAACTGCTCTCTCTACCAAACACATGCCCTGCATACATATGTTCTTGTGTGCAAGTTCCACGGGAGTTAAAATTTCATAAGCTACAAGGTGTATAAACCGTGCAACAGATGTGGGTTTATTCAACTAAAATTTGAGATCATAGAATCATAGGGTAGTTTGGGTCAGAAAGGAGATTTGTAATTCTGTCAGAGGACAATATTTTATTTAAAAAACGTCCTGCGCTTTGTCACTATAATATGAGGAGCACATTTTTGTATGTTGTTTCAAAAAAACTCCAAAATGGCAAGCTTGATTCTGGGTAAGGGTATCTAGACATCTGCAGCGGTTTAAATCTTTCTGTATATTGATCCAGTTATAGTGTGTATAAATACAAGCTTTATACAATTAAAAGAAAAAGCAATTCCTAAGTTATCCAAATTAACTTAAAATTTTTGAAAAGTTCATGTATTTCTCAACTATTTTTAGGTTCAAGTTCTTTTGAATCTCAGAAGATGGAAAGGCCTTCTATTTCTGTTATATCTCCAACCAGCCCTGGAGCCCTACGAGATGCACCACAAGTCCTACCAGGGCAGCTTTCTGTGAGCATATTTTGTTTTTCTTGAATTGTTAATGAAAGCCTATGAAATGCTAGTCCATCAGCCCTCCACATTTCCAATGTCTGTTGGGAGGTCAAGAGAAATACTTGCTGTTGGTGAAGACTAACATCTTCCAGATGTTTTTTAGGACTGCCTGTACACATTCACAAACCTAGAATCATAGAATCATCAAGGTTGGAAAAAAACTTCAAGACCATCAAGTCCAACTGTCCACCCTACAACCCTGAACCACTAAATCATGTCCTGAAATACCACATTTTTTTAATACTTCCAGGAATGGTACCTCCACCACCTCACTGGGCAGTAATCACAGCAGAAATAAAAAAATGTTCTCTTTCTACACCAGTGCAGGAATTTACCCTGAGAGGAGCCCATATAAGTGCCTTGTAACTTGTAATCCTTTGCCCTATGCATAGAAAATAGATACTGTTCTGTACATGCCCAGTAATCCTCAGATAACAAGCACAGTACCGATTTTTTTCTTTATGGGAGCATGTAAAGAGCTGTGCATATGTGCATTTAGATTTAGATACACATTACATCCTGGAACTGTGTGTAATACTAATTGAAGCTGTGCTTATTAAATATACTGTGAGTAATAAGACTTTGTTTTGTACATTCTTTTTTAATTATTGATGATTTTAATTTCTAAGTATAGAGCAGGCTCAAAAATGTTCCTATGATTCTTCTAAGAAATTATTTAACTGTATTTCATACTTTTCATGCGAAAATTTGCAAGGTGAAGAATCAGAACAAATAGATTTCAGCTGTGTCTTGAGTTTAACTGCAGTCAGGGCTTCCTGTTTGAGTATAGCTCTTAAGGTGCAGAGTGAAGACATGCTGGTTTAAATGCACTCACAGACACAAGACTATGCAGTGAGTACAATAAACTTTGTAAGTAGAATCAGGCACCAACATTTTATTCAGCAGTGGTAAATATGAAAGTCTTTGGAATATACCATCATATTTTCCATAAAGCTTAATTAAATAGTAGAACTTGAAATGAAATGTATCAGATTATCTCATGGAAAAATAAGTGGTTACTTCTACATTATGATTAATGTAATACAGTCTGAAAATTCTGGGGTTTCTCCATTTTCAATAATGTTTTCTGGTAACTTGAATCCTGTAGGTTAAACTGTGGTATGACAAAGTGGGACATCAGTTAATAGTAAATGTTCTCCAAGCAACAGATTTGCCATCAAGAGTAGATGGACGCCCCAGGAATCCCTATGTAAAAATGTACTTTCTTCCAGACAGAAGGTAGTAGTTTCTGTATTTAGAAAATTGTGTAGAAATTTACCATGTATTGCATCAACTTTGAAATGAGTGTTTATGATGTAAATTATTCCTTTTAGTAATTTTTTATAGCTACTGTAATTACAATAAATATGCGCTCAGATTGTGCACGCCAGTATCAAATTAACTGTGTGGACTTTTGGATGAATGTGATCCACTCCACAGCAACTAATTTTCTCTTTTAGGCCTTAGCAGATCAGAAAGAATGAAAACAGTGAGGGCTGATGAGCAGATGGAATTTTGTGATTTATTTCCACAAACTGTTTATAACAAATATTTGTGTTTCAGTGACAAGAGTAAAAGGAGGACCAAAACAGTAAAGAAAAGTCTAGAACCAAAATGGAACCAAACATTTATCTACTCCCATGTACATCGTAGAGATTTTAGAGAACGAATGCTTGAAATAACTGTATGGGATCAACCAAGAGTACAAGAAGAAGAGAGTGAATTTCTTGGAGAGGTGATACATACAATCACATTTCTCCTCAGTTCTTTTTTTGCTGTTGTTGTTTTGAATACATACACACATATATTTTATGTATGTGTTTGTGTGTGTGCGCGCCTTGAAAGTAAAATTAAAACCTGCTGTTTTTTCTACTAGATTCTTATAGAGCTGGAGACAGCACTTTTAGATGATGAACCACATTGGTATAAGCTACAGACACATGATGAATCCTCACTACCTCTGCCTCAGCCATCACCTTTTATGCCAAGAAGACATGTTCATGGTGGAGAAAGCACTAGCAAAAAATTACAAAGTAAGTCCAAATTCCACTCATGTCTTTTAAATTTGAAATCAGAAATGCTATGCATGGTGTAATGGTTTTTAACTTTCACCTACAAGATTCAAGTATTATTTAATAGTCTTGAAACACAGTGAAAATGTATTGCAGACAAGATATGCAAATTATAACATTAGGACATTGCAACCTTTCACCTGTAACACTTAACTGTTAAGTGTGTGAAACCTATTGGAATATGTTCAGTTTTCAAACATATGTTTGCATACTTTTCTTTTAAAATAGAAATCTTAATTCATTATTACTGGAAACTTTAAAAAATAATTAAAAGATTTTATTTAAATGAAAGTCCTTAAAGACTTAAGAGGCTTAAAACCACTTTTCATCATAAAATTAGTCTCAACCTCCAATATGCTCATTATACAATCAGGTGAGATTGTACTTTTGCAACAAAGAGAAACTGAATGCCTGTATTTGGGATGTACAGTTATTTTGATGAGTCTGATTTCAGGTTTGTATGAGGTATATTTAAAAAACAAATGCATTGAAATATTGAATATTGTATCTTCTCTGTTCATTTAAATTAATTTAAGATTTATTTAGAAATATGAACATACTTTTCCAAGCTATTTTTCTGTTTTTTCTTAAACATGGAGGTCATTAATTCCAGCCAATGCATAGGAAAATGGTGCAGAATCAGGAATGAATTATAAAAATGTGATGTTACTGTTATTGCTGCATGAGGATATGTATAGAGTGAGCAAATTAAAGGTTAGTTTTCATGAGATATTTGAATTTTTCTAAAATCTGGCAGTGCTGTTTCCTCATCCCTCTTTCCCCATATGTTGCCACCTCTCCTTTCCTATTCAGCAAGCTGACTCAGCTCACTCACTCAAATAGCATAGAAGTATTTTTTTCTTTGAGTTAACTTTTGGCTGGTTTAGTGAGATAAATCATCCTAGTAGAGGACTGCTGAGGACTTGAGGGAAGGAGAAGGGGAGAGGAGGCTGCAGCAGCTATGAAATGTTAAGTTAGCTCAGTCACTTCAGTTTAGTTCTCCTTCTCTATTGCTTAGACTTAAAATCATAATTTTAGTTGCAGTAGTATTTTAAATTAACATATTTTTACATTTTATAACTAAATCAGATGTTCAGGTATTTGTTTACCTTACTGTTGTGCAGGATCTCGGCCAATCAGTGATAGTGACATCTCAGATTATGATGTTGATGATGGTATTGGAGTTGTTCCTCCAGGTGCGTGGGTGAACAGCATGGTCCTGCTTTCTTCTTTTTTTTGCTTGTTTTTATTTTCTTTATAACATTTCAGAATATTGAGGATACTGGTTTTGGAGAGTGCATTGCAAAAAAAAAAACACAAACAATTTTCCCTGTTATTTCATGGTACTTGTCCTAAATTATGGTGAATTGAAAGATTCTACTATTCATTCATTGATATTTCTTTTACATATAATTCTCCATATGTGAACCACTGGATGGTTCAAAATTTTAATTTTTTACCATGTAATGTTCCAAACCTTATTTAATATAAACTGAATTCCAGAAATCTTTTTAAAATAGTAATTAATATTTCAGTGTTTATTGCAAGGATTTTTTCGTTTTGCATTTTGCTTGAAACTTGGATATAATGCAGTCTCCCATGGACTTTATTGAGCATGCATGGCTATAGATTAAGATGCATGTAGCATGGCTGTATCTTTTGTAGTTCTCATAAGCCTTCATTAACTATCATTACCTAAATGTTCATAAATATATACTTGTAGAGACTATTGTAATTTGAATTTTAGTTCCAGCATTCCTTACATACTGAAATTCTTCAGGATCATTTTAGATACCACATTTTTCTATTTCTATTTGCTCCCTCTAGTCAGATGAATACGTTTCCCAATTGTCCCAAACTAACTGAAGGGTCACTTTGTCATTGGCAGCACTAAAACAATTTTTCTGTGGAAAAGATGAAAGTCCTGAATTCAATCATAGTAGAATTTGAAAAGCTCTCTGTCTTCCTGGTTGGTGTTTTAAAAAATCTACCAATTCATTAATTCATTATATATCCATATAAATAAATTATGTATTTTATTAATGCAATATCATTTTGATGTTTGCTGAGCCAAATTCTTACTCCTTTGATGTTGATTGGGTTCTTTCCTTTAATACACTTACCACATGGTTTACTAAGAGGGAAATTTTTACAGCTATGTCTAGTAATATTTGATTTAATGAAGTAATTAATGAAGTAATTAATTTCTAAATCAGCTGAGAGAGCTGATATTTCTTTCTGTTGACAGAGCAGGTACTGACATATCTGTGTAGATATGTACTGGCATATCTAGAGATTCACATATTAATTTCTACCCTCCCATCCAACCTTCCTTACTTACCACACTGCTAAATCTCCTAAGACTTTGGACTGCTATCCTCTTTTACCCTGAATGAGTAGTGCAGTATCTTCTCCATCTAACAGTCTTCTCTGTTACAGCTAAGTTGCATGCAAGTTCCTTGTGCTCCAGGGTCTTTATCCCTGCTCTTCTCCTGCTCCCATACACCATGGACCTCACCACAGTGCACTGCAGCTCTTATCTGGTCCAGATTCCCCCCACGTTCTCCTGCAAGGTGTGCGTGTGGGAGGGAATGACATGTTATCCTTATTTCCCCGTAATGTAGGATGATGGTGCAGCTAAGATGCACTGTTCAGACCATTTTGGCGTAGCCTCTGTTGGCTTCAACTAGATTACTCTAGGATTAAGATACTCCTTCTCAACAGAATCTAGAATACAAAAACTGAGTTTACAACATGTGACACAAAAGAAAATGTTTCCCTTTAAAGTGTCTTTTCCTTCTTTTACCACTTACTTGCCAGTGTTACCCACCATGGTGCTTATATATGATGAATAATCTGTCTTTATCAAAGATTCATTCTTACAGTTGTTAATTTTTTCTTTTTCTTGAAATATTCAGAAGAAAAAAAAACAACAAGTTTTTTTGCCTTCTTAATATCTCAAGATTTTCACAAAGTATGTTGCTAATTGTCTAAAACAAAAATGCCCATAACTGCAAAATGCAGAAGCACAAAACCTCACTTGATCTCTACCATAAGCTAAAAATTAATTATTAAAATATTATGGCTAATTTAACTAACACTGGAAATTCTTTAAACTATAATTTGAAATGTTTTACCAGTCACTAAGGCAAATACAGTATTAGTATCTCATCATAACAGAAAATACTGTTCTAGAGGTATGTTGTATGTCTACATCTATACACTTGAAGAAAATTTTACTTTAAATCTCTTAGCCTTTCCTCATATGAGAGATGCTCCAGACTCTTAATTATCTTTGTGATCCTGAGCAGGACTCACACCAGTAACTCCATGTCTGTTTTGTACTGGGGAGCCAAATACTCCAGATGCGGCCTCACTGTTGCTAAGGATATAGGAAGAGTCGGTAAAGGATAAGTAAAAGATTTAATAAAAACTGAAAATGTTTTGATGCATATCTTTGTGACCAAAACTACAGTAAGTTTATTAATTAAAAAGAAAGAAGGCTGACATACAGTTAGCAATATCCCAAAGGGTAGTTTTAATAAGCTGTATTGCTTATGCTATGGGTAACTCTTCAGAACAATTTATTTTTCTATCATAAGTAATCTATATAAATGGTTGCATTGTTCTGGTATCAAACATTTGCTATAACCATTTTCATCATCTCCTCATCTTCCATTTCATGTCATACCTGATAGTTTCCCATGAACAACTGAGAAACTTCTTCTGCATAAGCTACCATAAGCTTGATTGCTGCTATCATGCTGGTCCACGCAAAAAAAAAATTCTTGCTCACTTTGGAGAGCACAGAACCTTTGTATTTGAGGATATGAGGAAATGCTGCTGTTGCTGTCACTGTCATGGTCACTATGGAAGTATGGATGTGATCTGACCACCTTGACAATACTTGAGCTAATACTTAGGATAAATGTGAATTCTGGTTCCTCTGTTCTGTAAGCTTTGCATACACAAAATGCACAAGTTTCAGATATTGTTCCCTGGATGGCTTCACTATGAAGAATATATAGGATAAAATAATCCTTCTATATCAGATTTTTAAGTGTACAGGATAATCCCAGTTGAATTTTTTAGGCAAACTAGAGATACTCTATATTTAAAGTTAAATTTAGATTTATTTTTTAGTATTTAAGTTATATTTATTTCATTACAGTTGCCTAAAGCTTGGAAAGAAGGTTTGGATTTCTTTGATTTTAGTGTTGAAAAAATGAAAACTAGTGTTCCTTCTGATAGAGATGACAGGATTTTATCTAAGAAAACCTTGTTTGGAAAATGAACTATCTTTTAAAACATACAGCTTAGACATAATTATTTTGGGAAAGGTAACACATACAGCTTTTGTTGTGACACCTGTGACAATAGGCGTTGTCTTTTTTCTTTTTCTGACAAAAAAATCAGACATTTTCTGCAGCAACTTTAGTACGTGAGATGAGGGATTCTATGCTGAAATCTGAGGGAGTCCCTGGTTTTGCCTCAAAATTTGCAACCAGTCCTTGTCCTGAGATGAGGACCTTGTATTTATTTCTATTTTTATTATACAACTCTGAAACACTTTGACAGCTATTAAAGTACTCTAGCATCACAGTGCATCAAAACCTTCAAATGTTGGAGTCCTGCTTTGCTAAAAGGTTGATAAATCTTAGTAGATAGTTTCATGCATGACATCAACTTTTACTGATCTATTTTGCAGTCTATACTCAGTACACCATTAATATTAAAAATGCAGATTAAGTGACAAGCATTTGCTGTTTATGTAGCTGCTAGTAGGTCTCCCAAAAGTTTTTTCTACATGTCCTTCTCTGGTTTTCAAATGATAGCCCCTAAACTCCCCATACTTGAGTAATGTCACATTTTACATATCAAACTGTATTAGAAACATAGAATCATGGAATAGTTTGGGTTAGAGGGAACCTTAAGGATCATCTCGTTCCACCCCCCCTGCCATGGGCAGGGACACCTATTTGATCAAGTTGCTCACAGCCACATCCAGCCTGGCCTTGAACATTTCCATGGAGAGGACAACTTCCCTGGACAACCTGTTCTAGTCTCTCAACACACTCACAAGAAAGATTTTCTTCCTAATATCTAATCCAAATACACCCTCTTTCAGCTAAAACTGATACCCTTTGCCCTTTCACTAAATGCCCTGATAAAAAGCTTCTCCCCATCTTTCCTGTAGGCCCCTTCAGGTACTGGAAGACTGCTATAAGGTCTCCCTGCAGTCTTCTCCAGACTGAACAACCCCAGCTCTCTCAGTTATCTTCATAGGAGAGGTGCTTCAACCCTCTGATCCCTTTGTGGCCCTCATCTGTATGTTGTTCTTATGCTGGGGACTCCAGAACTAGCCACAGTATTGCAGGTGAGGTGTCACCAGAGTGGAGGAAAGGGAGGCAATGACCTCCCTCAACCTGCTGGCAATGCTTCTTTTGATGAGACCCAGGACACAGCTGGCTTTCTGGGCTGCAGACACACCTTGCCAGCTCTTGTAGGGCTTCTCATCAACCAACAAACCCAAGTTCTTTTCCTCAGGACTTTTCTCAATCCATTTTCTGCCCAGCCTGTATTTGTGTTTGGATTGCCCCAACCCAGACTCTGTATATGGGCCACACTTTTAAGAGGGCTATAATGATTTAGTAAAAGATCAGAGACCTTAATTATACAAATAATACAAAATATGAAAAAAAAAACCCAAACTTGAAACTCTATACCAAGATCCTAAAAAAGTGCAACTTATTTAATGTATCCAGTTGACAACTGACTGCATTACAGTTTTTCTGCATGGAAAGAAGATTGCTGATACAGACTGTGTTTTTAGCTGAACAAGATAGTACATTATAAGAACTTAATGTTCAATGAATTCAGAGAAGCAGCAAAATTATTATTTTGGAATCTAAACAATAATTTCTGAAGTCATTAAGGGATAACTCAAGGCATTATCTCTTCTGTTACTAAAGGATTTTCTGTCCAGGGATTCTTTTAATTTAATTTAAATGTCTAGAATTGAGCAACGGAAGCAAATCTCCTTAGGTTCTTTCTGAAAAATAACAAGGCACCTTTTGAAAGGTGTTCCATCTTATTGAGCTTCATTGTCTGTCTTAGGGTGGGATTCAAAGTGTGTATCAAGACAAACAATGTGCTACATGGGAGACAACATAGGAGTATCAGTGCTATAAAATGTACTAACATTCTGATGATTTTTTAAAAAACAATGTGTAAGAATGAACTATGAGAAACTGCAGCTTCTTCATAGTATTCAGAAAAAATATTCTGCAAAGTATGCAACACCCAATTTTCCATACAATACACTCTGAATGTCTGTAATTTTTGAAAGTAGGTGACTGACGAAGTTTAGGGACAGAACCTTTGTATTTGAGGATATGAGGAAATGCTGCTGTTGCTGTCACTGTCATGGTCACTATGGAAGTATGGATGTGATCTGACCACCTTGACAATACTTGAGCTAATACTTAGGATAAATGTGAATTCTGGTTCCTCTGTTCTGTAAGCTTTGCATACACAAAATGCACAAGTTTCAGATATTGTTCCCTGGATGGCTTCACTATGAAGAATATATAGGATAAAATAATCCTTCTATATCAGATTTTTAAGTGTACAGGATAATCCCAGTTGAATTTTTTAGGCAAACTAGAGATACTCTATATTTAAAGTTAAATTTAGATTTATTTTTTAGTATTTAAGTTATATTTATTTCATTACAGTTGCCTAAAGCTTGGAAAGAAGGTTTGGATTTCTTTGATTTTAGTGTTGAAAAAATGAAAACTAGTGTTCCTTCTGATAGAGATGACAGGATTTTATCTAAGAAAACCTTGTTTGGAAAATGAACTATCTTTTAAAACATACAGCTTAGACATAATTATTTTGGGAAAGGTAACACATACAGCTTTTGTTGTGACACCTGTGACAATAGGCGTTGTCTTTTTTCTTTTTCTGACAAAAAAATCAGACATTTTCTGCAGCAACTTTAGTACGTGAGATGAGGGATTCTATGCTGAAATCTGAGGGAGTCCCTGGTTTTGCCTCAAAATTTGCAACCAGTCCTTGTCCTGAGATGAGGACCTTGTATTTATTTCTATTTTTATTATACAACTCTGAAACACTTTGACAGCTATTAAAGTACTCTAGCATCACAGTGCATCAAAACCTTCAAATGTTGGAGTCCTGCTTTGCTAAAAGGTTGATAAATCTTAGTAGATAGTTTCATGCATGACATCAACTTTTACTGATCTATTTTGCAGTCTATACTCAGTACACCATTAATATTAAAAATGCAGATTAAGTGACAAGCATTTGCTGTTTATGTAGCTGCTAGTAGGTCTCCCAAAAGTTTTTTCTACATGTCCTTCTCTGGTTTTCAAATGATAGCCCCTAAACTCCCCATACTTGAGTAATGTCACATTTTACATATCAAACTGTATTAGAAACATAGAATCATGGAATAGTTTGGGTTAGAGGGAACCTTAAGGATCATCTCGTTCCAACCCCCCTGCCATGGGCAGGGACACCTATTTGATCAAGTTGCTCACAGCCACATCCAGCCTGGCCTTGAACATTTCCATGGAGAGGACAACTTCCCTGGACAACCTGTTCTAGTCTCTCAACACACTCACAAGAAAGATTTTCTTCCTAATATCTAATCCAAATACACCCTCTTTCAGCTAAAACTGATACCCTTTGCCCTTTCACTAAATGCCCTGATAAAAAGCTTCTCCCCATCTTTCCTGTAGGCCCCTTCAGGTACTGGAAGACTGCTATAAGGTCTCCCTGCAGTCTTCTCCAGACTGAACAACCCCAGCTCTCTCAGTTATCTTCATAGGAGAGGTGCTTCAACCCTCTGATCCCTTTGTGGCCCTCATCTGTATGTTGTTCTTATGCTGGGGACTCCAGAACTAGCCACAGTATTGCAGGTGAGGTGTCACCAGAGTGGAGGAAAGGGAGGCAATGACCTCCCTCAACCTGCTGGCAATGCTTCTTTTGATGAGACCCAGGACACAGCTGGCTTTCTGGGCTGCAGACACACCTTGCCAGCTCTTGTAGGGCTTCTCATCAACCAACAAACCCAAGTTCTTTTCCTCAGGACTTTTCTCAATCCATTTTCTGCCCAGCCTGTATTTGTGTTTGGATTGCCCCAACCCAGACTCTGTATATGGGCCACACTTTTAAGAGGGCTATAATGATTTAGTAAAAGATCAGAGACCTTAATTATACAAATAATACAAAATATGAAAAAAAAAACCCAAACTTGAAACTCTATACCAAGATCCTAAAAAAGTGCAACTTATTTAATGTATCCAGTTGACAACTGACTGCATTACAGTTTTTCTGCATGGAAAGAAGATTGCTGATACAGACTGTGTTTTTAGCTGAACAAGATAGTACATTATAAGAACTTAATGTTCAATGAATTCAGAGAAGCAGCAAAATTATTATTTTGGAATCTAAACAATAATTTCTGAAGTCATTAAGGGATAACTCAAGGCATTATCTCTTCTGTTACTAAAGGATTTTCTGTCCAGGGATTCTTTTAATTTAATTTAAATGTCTAGAATTGAGCAACGGAAGCAAATCTCCTTAGGTTCTTTCTGAAAAATAACAAGGCACCTTTTGAAAGGTGTTCCATCTTATTGAGCTTCATTGTCTGTCTTAGGGTGGGATTCAAAGTGTGTATCAAGACAAACAATGTGCTACATGGGAGACAACATAGGAGTATCAGTGCTATAAAATGTACTAACATTCTGATGATTTTTTAAAAAACAATGTGTAAGAATGAACTATGAGAAACTGCAGCTTCTTCATAGTATTCAGAAAAAATATTCTGCAAAGTATGCAACACCCAATTTTCCATACAATACACTCTGAATGTCTGTAATTTTTGAAAGTAGGTGACTGACGAAGTTTAGGGAAGAATATTAGAGTCAAAAGGTTGCTTTATGTATGAGCAAGTCGTGGATGAGTCTGTACTACTGTACACATGCACACCTTCTCCATGTGCTGGATGAGGTGAACCTACATTGCTTGGATTCCTTTCAAATAGGACAATTTGGAAGCACAACTTACTGTGAGTACTCTTCCCCAAATCAGATAACTCCTATAGTCCTCCACATCTTCCAGTATGAAAATCATCTCAGATTCTCTGTCTCTTGTACATGTAGACATTTAAAGGTAATGCTTGTAATTTATCCTGGCTGCATGGTAGGTCAGGATGAACAACAGTTGAATAACGACTGTAAAGATGTGTAAACGTTTAGATGTGTGTTTCTGGAAGGACTAACCATCTGATTTCTTTCCAAACCCAGTCTTTTTTTTTTTCTCTAATTTCCTTTTGTTGCCCTCTTGCCAGTAGGTTATAGGTCTAGCACTAGAGAAGGTAAATCTACAACGCTAACTGTGCCAGAACAGCAAAGAACAACACATCATCGGTCACGATCTGTATCTCCTCACCGTGGCGACGATCAGGGCAGGACCCGTTCACGTTTACCAAATGTGCCATTACAGAGGTAGGCAACACGAGTTGGTGAAACACTCTGAGGTTTCAAGTTCATGTAGTCTGTCACTATTAACTTTTTTCCAGCAATTTTTCACAATTTCAAAACTTTTTTGTATCTCAATTTAGAAGTGTATTATTTGAACTTGATGTGTGCTTTTATTAATCATTCAAGTGCACCCATGAGATGAATCATAACTTTTTAAATCTTACATCTTATTACTGGTAATTTTGCTGTGATTCATCATCTTTGTACCCTAACTAATACGTAGATTTGAAAATATTTTTTCAGTCAGTGGCTGAATCTTTTACGAAGCCACTTAAGTGTAGGATAATAAATAGCAGCATGTAAAAATTGTGTAATAACTATGAATAATTTTGAATTAACAGCCAGCTGAAATTACCATTTGTATTTATAATGTGACACTTCTAATGGAAGAAGTAAAAAAAAACAAAACAGAATCAGTGATGTATAACCCTCTATTTTCTGCATTTACTGCTTTTAACAGACAGCCTATTGATAGCAGAGTCCTTTTTTAGCTTTTGATTTGTGTGCTTTATGCTTTTTTGAATAATGCCATGCAGACTGTTTAAGACAAAAATTGGCAGATTTAATTTTGCTTGTTTTATTGTGCAAGGCAATAAGCTTTTGTTGCAGCCTCTCATGGAACCCTAAAAATCTGCCAGTTTTTACCAGCTTTCGTTTCCTCCAATTTCTAGGCAGCTTTGTTCTTTAGTTACCTCAAAAGCTAGAAGTATTGGATTAGCAATATCATTGCTCACTAGCTGTGATTGTTCTTCTCCCAGTTGAGAATCCTGATGCTCTTGCTTTTCTGCCTTTTCATCCTCTGTGCCATATATGGTGTTCTGCATTGAAATTTAGTGTGCTTCTTAAATCCCTACACACATCCCCTTCTGTTACAACAGCTCTTAACAAATGAAAGTGTTTCACTACCCATGGTGCTACTGTTTTACTTGCTGTTGCATTTTTCAGTAATGCATCCTTAACAGATAAATAGGATGGGTGTACATAAAACAGACACTAATTTTTATTACAGTAGAGAGAATGAGAGCTCCTCATTCTGCTTCTGCATTGTTTGTCTCATGTATTTCTATCTACAAGCACAACATACAAATTAAATATTTCATTGACAATTCACCCATCTTTGTTTTTTAACTCTGAAAAGCTAATGCATCTTGTTACAATGATAATTATTAAACTAAAGAAAGGAACTTCCCTTCAAGCAGTAGTTTCTTCTGTTCTTTTCCACATGAAGAGAACTTTAAATTACTGACATGGAGGTCAGAAGCTACCTGAATTTATGAAAAATCTTTCTGTATAACACTTAAAACCAAGATTGATAAATTCTACTTCATGGTCACATATCCTATCCCAGAATTTCTTAAAGAATACTTGACAATAACTGCAAAAAGTTGACAGCCCCAAATCAGCCCATTAGAAATCTGGCTATGAATCTAAAAATGCATAAAAGTTATTTTTTGTGAGGTATGATCACTTCTTGTGTTATTTCAGTAATTATTTAAGGACAGGCTTTGAAAATGGCATTTCTGGATCCATCAGTGTACAAGAACAGGCATGTACTTCTCAATATGCTAGAAATGGCTGCTTTCTATACTTAGAGGTATTTTTTTTAATCTTAGGAACCAATATATTTTTAGAAACCATATATTAATGGTTTACTTATTAACAACTTCCTTTAGCCAACTTGTACTGTGATGCATTAGGCTGTGTTTTTGAGGAAACAAGATTATCACATGTATTTCTGCCTTTCAGGAGTTTAGATGAAATTCATCAAATGAGAAGATCACGTTCTCCAACTAGACACCATGATGCCTCCAGAACTCCAGTTGATTACAGATCCAGAGATGTGGATAGTCAGTATTTGTCTGATCAAGAAAGGTACATCGTCAGTCTGAAACAACTTGGAAACAAGTTTAGAAATGTCTTTGTTGGCTTGCCCGATTTTCAAATATTCAGTAGAAACATGACTGAAAGTAATGGGGAAGGGAGAGAAACAATCCTAACTGAAAAATCCAGGGCCGTGGTTAAATTATCTAGGCCTCTTGTTTTGGTAAAGCTGTGCTCTGGATTGAAAATAATAGACCAGGGGTTCTTAGGTTTTTGTCCTGGAGTATTCTGCTGTTTGTTTCATGAATGAAGCCCAGACATTTTTGGTAGAAAACCATAAATCTACATCTATGTTCTTGCTATTCTTTTAACTCAGAATTTATCTGTTACAGTAGTCAGCAAAATACTGGGCATCAGTCCCTACTAGTTAGGAGTTGCATATGCTATGATTGCATTCCTATTCTTACAGATTTTGGATATCTCACAGCATCATATTACATCTTATGTAATATTCTGGTCAACTTGGTACAGTACCCAAGCATAGTAAGGATAAATGTTGTGCTTGTAGTTAGCAAAAATCTCCAGTCTGTGTGTGACATACACATCTCTCCCTGGAATACATGCAGTGGCTATACTCCTCACAGAACTCTTGGTCTCTCCTAGTAGGCATGGTTTTTAGGTATCTAAAAATATATTCTAATAAAATGGAAGAAAATTAGAATTTGAAAAAAAGTTTTAAAAAAAGTTTTAAAAGGTAATTCAGTTTGGTATTTTGGAAGCATAATGATGACAGTCACATAGATTACCAATGGATTAACATTTTTTATGTAAAAAAACCCTATATAGCCAAACAGTAGTGGCAAACTTTTCCCCTTCATATAAGATGAATTGTCTTAGTAATGTCTTTGGATTACTTTTTTGCAGTAAAATACAATTTTTTATGAGTAAGCATGACAAAACCTTTCCAAACAATCCAGTAAATTCCATACAGAACATACCTTTCATAGTGATGTGAAAATGTGTGAAGAATAAACAATAAAAATCTCTGGAACTCTTTGTCCAGTTTTGAAGCAACATAGCAATTGAATAACAGATGATATTTGCAGTTAAACTAGCTCAGTTTTGTATGTGAACTTGCCTGTTTTGCTTTTTTTTGTGTGGAAACATACATATAGGAATTAATGAGTTACTTGGAATATTTTAAAATTCAACTTTGTAGGCAAGTATGTACAGAATTGTCTAAGCTGAATTGTTGTACTGAACTTATTTCAGAGGTGAATTGAAATGCTTTTTAATGGTATTAGGCAGTTTTATAGTTTTCAAGTAACTTCCATTTGTTCCAAATGTTCTGTGTTATTATTTATTATAGGTAGTAATATATTTAAAAGATTCCTGAAGATACTTGTTGAAAAGATTTCTTTTTTAGCCAATCTGAAGAGGAAGAGACATTAAAAAGTAGCTTCTGTCAGTAAGAATAAATATAGACAGATAATTGTCTAGACATTTTTTTTGCAGTACATGATGATATATGCATGGATTATTCCTGGAGAGCAGGGCTTGCATTGAGGCTGTCTTGGAGATGAGCCATCAGACCAGAGCCACAGCAGCAATTGCTGCTGCATTTTTTCTTAGGAGTTAGACACAACCTTCAGTTTTTTTCAATGTCAGAAAACGTGTTGCAGAAGTTTAAAGATCAGATGTGAAGGATGCACGTGGCCTATTTGCAGGATTTAAAGATGAGCCCATGTACTTAGTCTCCTTGAGCCTTGTCTGCACTGGTCTCCTTTTTGCCTATTTTCCTTTTCATCTTTCCCCCAGATTTATTCACTTCTGGAGGCTGTTTAACTCTTGCAGGATTCAGTCTTTTAGTATGTAAAAGCAGCATAATAGGGAAGATCAAAACCAGCTTTTGTTGAGGATGATTCTCTTCACATCCAAGGATTTTTTTTTAAAATCTTCATTCAGCACTAGGTATTCGAATCAATAGTAGCATAAGTATTATGTGTTGTTCATTTACTGAACCCTTCATCTTAAAAGTGCATGTAGATACCTGACTTAAACTTGGTTTAAAAGATCAGTAATTACCCAATAGTTACATGGCAGAAATTGCAGTTGCTAATTACTTTTGATAATTCTCTCAAAAATCTGTTATTGGTTCCAAAGTAATAGGCAAAATTCTGAATAGATCTTTGTAAAAGTAGCTATTGTAGTCTCTTACTGAAGCATCTGGTGTGATAAATTTCCAGTGGAACTAATTTGTCCACTTTACCTTTTATATATATATATTTGTATACATATATACACATGTGTGTATGGATGTATAAATACATTAGGAAAAACTTTTTAGGAAATCTTGCTAAGCAGGATAGTTGCTCTCATAATCCAAGTTTCAAGGGCATGACCCTTTAAATATTTTTTAGTGTTTCTTTTATTTCTAAATATAATCTGTTAATGTGAGTAGAAAGCACTTATTTTGTAATAATGATATTTATTTTAAATATCTCCAAACCAATCTTAATTTGTTATGGAACTGTGGGTATCTTCTCATATTATTGGTAGGTTACTGTGGTGGGTTCTTTTGCTTTGTTTTTTTGTTTTGTTGTGGGTTTTTTTTTTGTTTTTCTTTTCATATTACTTTTTGCCTTGGGGCAATTATAATAGATGCTCTTTGGCTCAGCACAGGTTGAGTAAATATGAAGTAAGAACCTTGTGATTTGGTGTGGATTTTGCATCTGCTTTGCAACTCTTAAGGAAGTGGTAACTTTTTTCCTTAGAATACATGTTTATTTGTAATTTGGAAACCTGCATGTAAATTTTTTCAGTCCTTTGACCTTATGAATGGAAATCTTGCTTAAAAAAGACCCAACAAAAACCCAATTCACTTCATTATAATGAATTTCATTATAATTAATTCATTACAATGAAACGCATTGTAATACATTTTGTTGCATCAAAATCAGGCTCGTGGTTCCAGATGCAAACTTAAATCTCACACGTCACTCACAAGCCCTTGTTTCAAGCTGCCTTATTTAGAATTTTAGGTATTTCCTCTACTACATCAATAAAATGGGCAATTTTATAATGGTATGAAGCACAAAACACATTGAACTACTGCTGCCTTATCTATTTTGTAATGTTTTCTCTCTTTGTCACCATAGTACTTCATATGATTCCTTTTTTTTTTTTTTAAATAGCATGTTTCCATGTAGCTTAGCTTTAATTTCATATTTATGATAATAAGGAGGTTTAGAGCTTGGTCTTTCCAATTGTGTTGAAGGGCATAAAACTACAAGATTAGTTCAAGGGATATTTCATATCATGGTCATATTTACCATAGGCATAAATATGTGTTTATTTTACCATCTTGCTCTGTATTGTGTATGGTTACAGTAAATGAAAAATACAATTGACAGCTGATTTTCTTAATTGGAAACAATAAGAAAAATCTGATGGCTGACTAGCAATATTTTCATTCCTTTAGTATTGCATTACAAAATACTGTCACAAGCTATGAGTCAGAATTTATATTTGTCCAACAGTAATATTTCCATTGAACACATATTTTTGTTTTTCCCAAAAGGGTGACTAGTTATTCTTCTGATAAACTGACCTGCATCTGATCTGCAGTAAATTAGTAGCAAACCCTCCTTGCTTTTACATGTATGTTTTTGTGGCTTAGAAAGGGGGAAAAAATAATCCCAAACCAACATTTTTTTCTTCCTAAAGTATTTCTTCATTAATTAGTTAATGTGAAAGGAGGTTATTAGAGAAATGTAGCTGTTTTGTGGATTGCTTTTGTCATGAAGAGCTCTGAAACAGTATGTCTGAGTTTTAAAAGGAGAAATCCTACAAAATTAGGTGCCGTGCTAAAAGGAATTTGTTGAAAATGTAGTTATTGAAGGCTCATATTCTTTGAGAAGTGCAGTCTGGGTTTGAACAGAATGAAACCATCTATCTGGGTGGATGCTTCTTGTTTCTTTTCGTTCTCATTTGCGTATCATTGGCATAACCCATATCATCTAATGCTTCATGATGATATCTGTTTCACTCACCACCCATCCTGTCTGTGCAGTGAGCTTCTTATGCTGCCCAGAGCAAAACGAGGAAGAAGTGCAGAGTGCCTACATACCATCAGGTAACTACAGCAATTCGGTAACCAGGAACGCATCTGGTTAGTTGTCTATACTTTGTCTGCCCAACTTTTTTCCATAGCTGTATTTATTCCCTGTAAGTAAGGAACTTCCTAGTATGTTGTGACCCTGGTGTCACTTGTTCTTTTTTGTTCGTTTTAATTCGTACTGAGATGTGCATATATGTTTGTGAACTTCAGTAGTAGAGATTAAAGTAGGTGAAGAAATTCTGATTTGGCAGTTGTATTTTGTGGTAGATATTCTGTCTAGTCACAGAGTCCTGATCTCCCAATGCATGACAGTGCTCTTTTAATTTCAACCATCCCTTTTTTGTTGTTTTTGTATTTTCTTTTGTTTGCATTTCTGTATCACAGCCATGCACAAGCCAACAATCTTTACTTGTGACAATCTCATACTGATTTTGGTCGCCTGTAGAGAAAGAACAATAATTAATGAAGGCTCACTGGGAACCTCAGGTTTGAGGTGCCTCATATTACTTGTTTTTATGTGCACAAATTGTGCTATAAATTAGATCCAGGCATAAACTTTGTAGATTGGACTCATCTTCGGTCTTCATTAATCTCTTGTTCCAAAGCTTGGAGCTCTGTCTCAAAATTTCCCAATGTTGTGAAACTAAAGGGGACTGAAATATCTTTATCTAACAAATCTAATTCTGCCCTTCTCCCCCTCCCTTTATTTTTTCATCATGTCTGTTAACCTTGTAAAAAATACATGTCAGATTGTGTAGAAAACCTTCCTTTTAGAATCATTATAGTATAAGTTGAAGTATTGAATCATTATAAGTTGAAGTAGTTAACCATTGAACTACTTTGAGGATGCTGTGATGAGATTCTGTTAAAAGGCATGGTAGTATAAAGCTAAAACAATAAATACAAAAACATTTAAAAAATCTATGCAACAGTAAAGCTGTTAAATTAAAATTTAAGACTTTATTACCAGTAGGAGTTTCATTCTTCATCTTAAAAAGCTTTTTCCTCATTTTAGGTTTTAAAGGTTAGTAATTTATTTCCTTCCCTGTTACTTTATGTCCGTTTATTGTAATGTAATAGCAGTTTTTCCTGCCTCCTTCCTGTGGCCTTTCTCTTTCTGATGTATCTTCTATAGCTTCATCTCCCTCCTTGCCCTCAGCCCTGTCCTCGTTCCTTTCCATCTTAAAGATTATAATTTTATTAGACTTCTTCAATGACAGTGTTTAGATTTTCATTTCACTAAGTGTTGTATTGCGAACCTTTGATGCACTTTGCCTGGTCACTATAGATTTCCAGTAGTTTTACCAAACCTATTAACCAGTCTGGACAGTTAAATAGCTAAAAATTGTGCATGGACAGCAGTGGAGTTACGTAAAAGCTACACAGAATTCAGAGACTACAGCCTTTTATTGCCTTTTTCCTAATTTTTATTATTGCTGTTATTTTTTTCATTATCATGAAAAGTAAGAAATTAACCCCTTTAAAATAACAGTAATAGTATACTATAAGACAGAATGGTACTTGTAATAATTTATTGAAGGTGAATATGAGGGCAATAGAAGACAAAAGACTGATTTTTCAGTTTACCTCTGAGGTTTATAAAGCCTAGTCTAAGTTTGAATAATATCCATAAAATTGCCAATATCCATCCTGGACTAAATAGTCTCAAAAACCCTTTCAAGAAAAACTTGATCTGCTTATTGGTTGCCGTCTTTTGTCCTTTCTAACTTGGAGCGACCTTATATTTATTCATGTTAGAAATGTTAGAAGGCTTTATCCTGGTTTTCTAGACAGCTTGCTGAATATTTTTAAATGAATTGTCAAGACAGCTCCAGCATAAAATGGGAAAGAAATGCTATGGGGTTCATCTTAAATGAAATAAATATTATTGTGAAGTAGCCAAAGCTGCAGTTAAGTTAGTTTAATACACTAGTTAAGAATAATACTAGTCCTAGCTGTCTGATCTGTCCATCTGTGTGCAGTCATTGAGTAGCAGCAGGAACAGTGGAAGGACATGTGTACCTGTGCCACAGACCATGGGTTGCTCCATTCCATGTCTGAGGTCACACCCACTTTGATTGTCAATATCTACTAGTATGCCAGGATTAACTTAATGGACAACTATTTCTTTATTCCAACTTTGCAATGTTACAGTGACCTCTGATAGAGATGTCAACAGTGATGACAGCTAAGCTTGTACAAGTTGGGTCAAAGCTTCTCTGTTAACTCCCTCAGGATTTTACAAACACTAGGGTTTTGAGATAGAGAGTTGTCTTATCTTTCTGTGGACCAGAGAGGTTTGTAATGTGGATCTGTTGTGCCTAGGTCCAAGCCTTAACAGTAATCACAATGTCCTGTTGGACAGACTGTTCTTGAAGCTGCAAAATCCTTAATGCTGCTGGTCCTTCTGCTAATAGCACCACACCTGTGTTCTGGTAGGGTATGTGAAAAATTGTTAGAACATGGTTATTAGCCTTTAACCGTTAAATGGTTGTGATTCCCCTTTGGCAGCCATTGTCTGCCTTTAAGCATCTCACCTGTTTATCGGGTAGAGTTAGATGATAAAGCAAACATCTCCTGTTCTAAAATCTCATGTACTGTAAGTGATGATATTAGACAGTTGTCCGATAGCATCTTGTAGTTCTGCTGTGCTGGCTGATACAATAGACCTCCTACATTTTCTTAATTGGCTTATTGTTAATAACACTATTAGATTTTGAAGCTTATACCCCACTTCAAAAAGACTTCCACATTAAAAAATGTCAGATGTTGAGGCATCTATAATTGAATTTGTGATACTATGTATCTGTCTAGATCAATTTGTGATACTATATACCTGTATATATATATCAAGCTTTTCATGCTTAGCTTATCAAAAGGTTGAAGTCCCTGTAGATCTAAAAAGGCATTACTGAGAAAAATAAACAGTAAGTTTAATAACAACCTAGTCCTTTACATCAGCTTGTAGAGCTGTTACATATAGTAGAATATTATGCATTTATTTTACATTCTGGTTGGTCTTGCCTTTCTTTTACCTGTCTTTTTATTTCTGGCATGTTTTTGTGTTGTTCTTTTTTCTTTTCTGTTCCACTACGTTCAAGAAGTTCTGTTAGGCACTATAAAACATTGCCACCCAAGATGCCTTTATTAGCAAATGGTACTCATTGGAACCTATACAGGTAAGAATTTTTCAGAGTCCTCCTGAGGTAGTTAGATCCTTTTTGAAAAATAAATAGTTTTACCATGTTAAATAAATTTTTTAAAAATTGAAGTGCTTCATACAGTTTTTATAACTGAGAGTTAAGATATATAATCCTAAAATAACTTCATATAACTGTCTAAAATAACCCCTACATTACCAAAGGAAAAAAAAACAAGAACAGACCCAAAACCCAAACAATTTTGTTATAGGTAGAATTTTTTTCACTGTTAAAATTATGTGTTGCATCTTTGTTACGTGCTTTTGTTTCTGTGTATTATTTTGATTACTTATTGGATTTGTTTTCATTTTGTTCAAATAATTTTAATTTACAAAGCTCAACTCTTCCTGCATGTGCTAAGACCAAATCAGTGATTAGACAGGATATTTCACTTCTTCATGATTGCCTTAATTCACGAATACCGAAATTTGGAGATGATCTACTGGTTAGGTAAGAAACTGAGGATTAATTCCCCTCTTCTGTTTGGTACCTGATATGGATTTGCAGAATAAATGAGCTTCACTGTAAAGTGATTTCATATGCTAAGTAGTGTACCACATCCTTTTATGTTGGCCTTAGATTAACTGCTGTTAATAAGGACTGATATTTATTGTTTGGTATTTCTCATTCCACTTCCTTACAAGTAGGTGTTGGTCTGTCTTACTCAGTTTTAAACATTTCAATGATTTTAGCAAAAAAAAAAATATTCTAGCAGTCTTTAGTTTGCTTTTATTTTCTAAACAAATCTTGGCACTGTCATCCAGTCAGCTCTTTTACATTTTCTTTAATTAAGTCATTGTGATGCTACATTTTCTGTAAAGAGAGCATTATTTTATGAGTTAATATCTAACATTGTATTCCTTTCTTTGTTTTCTTTTTCTTTCTCTTCTACCATTGGATGCAATGCACTGGCACTAGTGAACTACAGCCCTCCCTTGACAGGGCTAGGAGTGCTAGTACCAACTGCTTGAGACCAGATACTAGTTTGCATTCACCAGAACGAGAAAGGTATAAAATAAAAACTTACGAATTTCTTCTCATCTGTGCTGGTGATCTTTATCAGTTTTGTTTTTCTTCATATGAGTATTTTTACATTTTTGTACATTCATGTCTGCTTTGGTATTTGTAGACTTTTTTGCTCCTTTATTCATGTATGTCATGTAAATTGTGTGTTGGGCAAACTGCTTTTGGCTTCTTCCCTTGTTTTAGTTCAAGCTGATGTCATTGTTCACAAAAGTCCTCAGTATGCTGATAATAGCATCGCCGTGTTAAGTATTTTGACAAAGCCTCACTTGGTTGTTAAGTTTCATCATCATTTGCCAAAAATTGTTACATTTGTTTCTTGTCTGTTCTGTGCTAGTAAGGCGGTGACATAATTTACAAATTATGACAAAATCAACATAGTTCAAACCAGAGTTGTAGTTTTCATAGTGATGCGTTTCCTACAAAACAGCCAAACTTCATTGATTTCCTAATCTAATCTGTTGCATCTGCTTTTGCAATTACAAAGCAAAAATCACTCCATTGTATTTTTTCACTCTGTGACATTACACAAAGGCTCATGTAGGTCTTAAGAAGCCACTTTTACAATTTAAATTAAATATTGATGTGTCACATATATTGTGCAGACATTGTATGGATGCTTTCTGAATTTTTAGTCTTAAGAGCTTTGTTCAAAATCTTAGGTGAACCAAATACTACTGGGTTTTTTGACAGATGGGATTTTTCCACACTTTTTTCATCACCTTCTATGTTTTTAGCTAAGAACTATAAGATTTTAGAGGGAGATTTTAGTTTCACTAAAGGCAATAATAGGCTCCCATTGAGTGGGAATATGTTAGTATTATAATTTCATCTGTACAATTCATATTTAGCTAATGTGGCAGTTAATAATACAAAGTGGCTTTGTCAGTCAACCCACAGTGTGGTGGTTATAACAGTTGCATCATTTTTATTATTGTGGAAGAGGAGTGGTGAAGAAAGGCAGTAAGAATATACTTTTATCTTTGAGATAAGGTTTCTCCTGACTTTTTTTGTGAAATTTCCCTTTCCCACTTCCCATTGTAGCTTGATTGAAACTTTACTCTTCTGAAGTTGTGCCCTCGTTGCAGAGAAGTGACTAAAGTTCTGCTGAGAGATCTCAGATGGATCTACACTAGTTTATTCCTTTATTAGATGGAGCTCAAGATAACCATAGCTAATATATACATGGTTATTTTAAAAAGTATGAGAGAAAGTAGGCCACTCAGAATGAAGTACAGGATATCACTCTAGATTTATTTATTTTTTAAATACAGTAGCATCATATTAATAACTGTGTAGATATATACAGCTGTATTAATCTGCAAGCAGCCATTTAACATAATAACATATGAGCAGGACATGAGCATTATGTTTTCTGCTTTTGTCTCAAGATACCATCCATCAAGTTGAGTGTTCAGTGAAACAGTAACTGCCAATTGTAAACTATTAGTTCAAATATTATAGTCAGAGCTACACCTATCACTGATGTTAACTAGTTTTGTTATTTCTTTATAATTTTGTGTCCAGCAGCCACTGTCCAATAGGCATTGCACAAAGTCTGCAGCATTTTTCATTAGCTTATTGTAAAGAAAAATGCTTAGTCTGTGTTAAAGGTCTCTAGTTAAAAGTCTCTAATGCTAAAATGTGTAGTAAACACTTTTTTGCCAAATCATCAATGGACCTGATCTAGAAAATTTGTCCATCGCTTTTACTTCTTTGCTTCAAGAAGTGCTAAATAGGTGCTTTTGACTTGGGATCCTTCATGGGGGTGCAGAAAAGCTTTTTATTAGGAACATATGTTCAAATAATAAGAGCTGTGTGGCTCACACAGAGGATTAAGGACATAGGTTTGTTGTTTTTTTCTTTCGACGTAGATGATGCAGCACAATTTTTGGAGGAAGATGTTAAATTTAATGTATTAAAAACATCAAATTAATCTTTGAGGGTTTCTCTGGGGGGAAGCTTATTTTAGAAGATATAATTCTCCACTGTTTGATGTATCTGCTTACACTTCCACATGAGGTTAGTGATCATTTGCGTGTCATGGTAGAGGAGTCTTTAGTTTGAAGAACAGTTAAGTTCAAGGTATGTAGAAAGCATTTCGTTTCTGTTCTGGTCAAGATGAGAGTTAAGTGTTTAAAGTACATTAAGGTAGGTTAAACAGTAGGAAAGCTCTTTTTGAAAGCAGATATAATGAAACACTGTAATAGAAGATCAGTAAAAGGTTGCCTGGGCTTCGATATTGGAGACTAAGAAGAGAAGAGGCAGACGTGTCAGGTGTAGAGTTGGTCCTGCTTGTAGCAAAGAGAAACACTGTATGGTTTTGTGAAGTCAAATCTATATAGCACCACTTTATTATTACTTTATTTGAGGGATCTGATGTGTTGCAGGCAGTTAGTTGTTGTAATGATTTGCACATCTCCAAAGGAATTACAGATTTTATTTTAAAATTTAGACTGCTAGCCCTCAAAATATAGACTTCTGAATGTGATATGTATTTTCTTCTACAAGATCATGAGTACACTCACCTATGGAAAATTATTTCTGCTTATTCCCCACAAACATTTTGCTTCAGAGGGTATAAATTAGCTTGTATTCGAGATCAACAGTTTAAATTGTCCACTTGAGCTTTTTTAACAAAATGATACTGGCTGTGTGTAACTGAAGGACAGTAGACAGGACAGAGCCCTATTTCTCCGTGTCTATATTTTGTTACAAATGGTTCTGATCCTCAGTCTCTACACAACGTTATTAATGTAATTTGGAATGGTCAGGGAAGTTACTGGGTTGTAAGATGCTGCTTTGCCAGTGAAAGTAATTTTGTTGACCCACTTATGCTAGGAGAAGAATACTTTCAGCAGCTTATATGAATTAGGGATATATGTCGTTAGTTGCACTAAACCAAAAAAACAAAGTAACAACAACAAAAAAAGATGCCTTTTCTCCTGCTATAAGCTTCCTCATTGGAACAAGGAAATTCCATATAACTTGGCTGGCAAACTAACTTTGCTCTGACACTGGCCTGACAAGGATTTTTTGGTAAATTGAATGATACGACACAGAACTTAATCCTTCTTGTATTTCTCTTTGGCACAGTATGCTCTAAGATACAAGAAAATATCTATCCCCTACTAACAGTCACCATGACTTCTCTTTTAAAAAAATATGGGGTTTTTTTCCCCCTCCCATTTTTCCCAAGATGTTTGTTTTTTTCTCAAGATTATTGTCTTGTTAAAATTCCTATGATGATGTTTTTGTGGCTACTACTTCCCTTAGTATGATTTTTTTTAATTCTTCTTTTCACTATGTCTCCAAATTTCTGCTTTTTTTCCTTGTGAATTGGATATAATTTCTTTAGAACTGAGAAATTTGTTTTTGACCCTCAACCTTCAGTCAGGAAAGCATGAGATTTAAGTGCAATGATTTCTCATCATAATAGCATCTTCCCCAGATTGATACAGAACTGCAGCCAATGATATTTACTTAATAATACACAGTGTGGCTTTTAGTCTACCTTCTGACTTTCTTGTGTTACAAGCATATTGTGTTACTGAGCATATTAGCAGTTAGCAAAGAACAGTTGTACGGATCAGTACTGCTTGTGTGCTTTGGTCCTGAGAGGTCAATTATTGGGAATCTGAGGAAATAAAAGAGGAGCATGGCCCAGGGATTAGTTCCTGTACAACAGGGCCAGCACATCTGCCAAATGCAGCCCAACAGCTGCGGTAGGTTTGTTCTGAGGTGCTTTGCTGCACTAGGAGTCAAAACATTTCAGGATGTTTGGTATCAGCTGGTCGTTACCACCTAAACAAGATGCAAAGCAGTTATTTGTTGCCTCGTCATAAATAGATAACAAAGAAGTTGGAGCTGTTGCTTCTTCCAGTTAAGACCTGTCCTGAGTCCCTGTTGATTTTTATAAGGTTTTTTAGTAAGTCTGATATCAAGTGTTTATATTGCAGTTATGTTGTTTATCACCATTTACTTCTAAAGTAATGTTTGCTTTAGGTATGCAATGTATTGTGTTTCCAGTTCTTTTCAACCATGTAAAGGAATAGGTTCTTGCATGTTTGTCTGCATCCTGTTGTGGCTCATGGTCATTTAACATTCAGTGAAAGAAAGCATGTTCTCAAAGCTCATACTGCACGGCCTAGTTAATTCTGTCAAATGCTGTTTAATATTTGTAGCGGATATCAGCATATTAAGGGCTTTGACTGAGTGCATTGATGCATTAACATTTTCTTTAACTCTTACTTTGAAGAGAAAAAGAAACTAACTACTAACAACCTGTTTCATCTTGAAACTTCTGAAAGATCTACCTAACTCTGATCTCCTTGAAACCTATGTTATTTGCATGTTCCATAAATCAAACCCCTTCCTTATTGAATGGACTGGAAGGATGCCTCAGAAAGTGAAATGTTTTATACTAATGCAGAATTTATGTGAACATCTTGCTGCTTGAAAATTAATCAGTATTTTTTGATTTTGTGAATCAATGTTATAAATACACATGTTCTATTACAGCCACATAACATCCCAACAAAATAAGTAACACAAGCTTATAGTATAGAGGATTCTAAATTAAACCTGCTTTTTCAAGAAACGAAATAATGTAAGACACTAGTTTTCTGTCACAATTCAGGTCCTTTCTCTTAAATTTAATTATATGACATAATCTCCTGGCCTGTACTGCATGGATACAGAACAGGAAGCTGCCTGCACACGCTTTCAATATATATTTTTAAATGAGAAACAATTACCCAGGACTTGTACCCAAATGTGTGCTGCTAATTAATTTACCTTTACTTTCTTATTGCATTCCGGAAAAGGTCACTTTATACCTTGGAATTTTTCTAGTAATTCATAGTGCTACATTTTTCTGAGAATACATTTTTCCTTGCAAAGAGCTAGGAGAGATTGTCATAACAAAATAGCAGCCAGCAGTCAACAGAAAATGACCATCATATGATCTTTGAAACGTTCTTCTC